CTGGAATTTAAACGCAAGAATAAATAACTCTTGCTCTACAAAAAAGAAAAGAAAAATCTTGCAATTAAAATTTGATCAATTTCTGACTAGTTTAATTGCTCAAATTTTTGACTGATTTTCTGTACAGGATGAAAACACAATTTTCAAACGCTTTCTGACCAGTATTAGTACAACTTATCGCCAATCAAAATTTTGATTATTTTCGGCCTGAACAAGGCACGAGGCTCAAAACTAAAATGTAGAAAAAATGAAAATAAAAAATGTATATATATTTAAAATATCAACTTTGTTCAGTAGACTACAAGAGAGAAAAAAATTTATAAAAATTTTCACACATAGCAAAAACAACAAGGGGAAAATTTCCAATAAACTTCTATCAACATTCAAAATTCCACTTTTTTCGTTTTGGTGACAAAAATTAACATTTCTTTTTCTTTCTCAGTACACGTATCAAACATGATGTTTAAAAACATTTCCATTTCCGATTACACTTTTTAAAGGACTTTCCTCAGTGCTCCAGACTCTTTAAAATATATATACTTTCATTGCAAATTTTATTAATTTAAATAAATTTGTATTCTCTGGCAAATCGAAAAGAAAAACATTTTAGTATTTGAGTAAAAAAATAAGTTTGCTAATCTTATTTTAATTAAACATTAATGAGAATAAATTCATATGCATATGGATAACTCTCCTCGATTATAAACTCAAAAGTCAATTTATTTGTTATATTTTAATAAGTATAGTTTTTTTTCCCAAATGTTTTAAATCATAAAAACCAATTAGACAGGTTTCGTCCCCTCCTCTGANTTGATAGTGTCATGCGTAATTCTGAAGCTGTTTTAGAGATTTAATCTAAATATTTTTAATATTAATTAGAAAAATGCTATTATTTAATTTTTATACTAAAGTAAAATTCTTTATGGTAAGTAACAGTTAATATAATGTCACGTTATCAAATTATTTTTAATATCAAATCAAATTAATAAAATAAGTTATTCTCAGAATTAAAAGTAATACAAATATATTACAATGAAAACTTAGGCATTATTTCAAGGAGGGAAAAGTTAAATTTTTTGCTGTAAAAATTTTCAACATTTTTAGATACATTTTAACAAGAACATAGACTTCAATCAAATTCTCACAGAAATGAAAATATTCATAGACCTAATAATTATGTCTGCATAAGTAAAAAAAAATCTAGGTTTTTTTTATGGTGGAAAAGTAATTTCTTGAAGTTCACTTAAATTGCAATTTTAAATTTTTTATTCAGCATCTTTAACATTAGGACAGGAATATGCTTATTCGAACAATCAAACTTAGTCTTAGTTACCACTATTCGAGTGTTCGAGAAACTATAGGAACGCAAACATGATGTTTAGGTATTTACCGAGGCGGTAGTAGACTCTTACAATATTTAAAGTGCTACTCACCTTAACAAAAATGTTTAGAAGCACAAGCGCAACGTTGCAAGCATGTTTGCTCTTCACAAAGTATGTTTTTTCTATGAATAGTGAATTTAATAATAGTATTAATTATTAAATTCTAATCTAATACTATAAAATTATACTATTATTGAATTATACTATTATTATTATAATTAAATACTGATAGTATAATTTAATAATAATAATAATAGTAGTAAATAAATGACGAATTAATTCATTTTTTATTCGCACGATTTAAATTAGACACATTTTGTTTAAAAGAAAATGAACAAAAAATCAAACCTGGAATTTAAACGCAAGAATAAATAACTCTTACTCTACAAAAAAGAAAATAAAAATCTTGCAACTAAAATTTGACCAATTTCTGACTAGTTTAATTGCTCAAATTTTTGACTGATTTTCTGTACAGGATGAAAACACAATTTTCAAACGCTTTCTGACCAATATTAGTACAACTTATCGCCAATCAAAATTCTGATTATTTTCGGCCTGAACAAGCCACGAGGCTCAAAACTAAAATGCAGAAAAAATGAAAATAAAAAATGTATATATATTTAAAATATCAACTTTGTTCAGTAGACTACAAAAGAGGAAAAAAAAATATACAAATTTTCACACATCGCAAAAACAACAAGGAGAAAATTTCCAATAAACTTCTATCAACATTCAAAATTCCATTTTTTCGTTTCGGTGAGAAAAATTAACATTTCTTTTTCTTTCTCAGTACACATATCAAACATAATGTTTAAAAACATTTCCATTTCCGATTACACTTAATTAAAGGACTTTCCTTAGTGCTCTAGACTCTTTGAAATCTATACTTTCATTGCAAATTTTATTAATTTAAATAAAGTTTTATTCTCTGGCAAATCGAAAAGAAAAACATTTTAATATTTGAGTAAAAATATAAGTTTGCTAATCTTATTTTAATTAAACGTTAATGAGAATAAATTCAGATGCATATGGATAACTCTCCTCAATTATAAACTCAAAAGTCAATTTATCTGTTATATTTTAATAAGTATCGTTTTTCCCCAAATGCTTTAAATCATAAAAACCAATTAGACAGGTTACTTCTCCTCCTCTGATTTGGAATCATTTCTTACATCATTTCTATTGAATCGCATACCGAGGATGTGGAGTCATTGCGAGTTTTTTCTTCTTTTTTTTTGTACATTAACGAAGTTTATTTTATAAGGTAAAAGAACTTATAAATGTTTGGGGAAGACATAGGATAAAATACATATTAAACTATTAAACATTAAAACGTTATAAATAATCATTTAAATAAGAAATAAAATAAACTGGAAATGTGAGAACAAGATTTTTGTTTCAAGTAATATTTCATTTAAATTTCACAAGAATTGTCAGAAACTTCCGTCTTCAGCAGCACAGCTGACAAAGACACGAGGAAGAGGATCAGAACACAATTTTTGATCAACAATATTTCCCAACATGTTTTCCAAGTTGGATTTTCATTTTATTTTTCCCCACATGCAAATTTTTCAAGATTTTTATAATACTAGGAATTTCCTCACCTTTCTCACTTCGCTCACCAACCTTCGTAACAGCCACTCATAGTTTGTATTTTCCTATATCGATATTTTTAAAGAGAAAATATATAAATATTGAAATTTTATTAACATGTCAATAGTAACAAAATTAACGATTGCATATGAAAAAAAATCAACTGAGCTTGAAAAAATAAATATATAAACACAGGGAATATATAAATTTTTTATAAAACAAGAAGTAATTTTACCAGCTAACTATCTAAAAAGTTTGTGTTTTTCGGATTAAATTGTTTGTAATCACTACCATTGTTATCATTGTACAAGTTTGCTCCTTTACTTTTGTTTGACAAGATTTTAAAATGTATTAATGCGTATTACTCACTAGGGGGAGGGGGATTATATAAGTATAATTTTCTTTTTATACGCAGAGAATTTTTGCAGCTGAAATTACCAGTTAACGAAAAGACCTTGTCATTGAAATTACCTATCGACCACATGGTTTCATTATCTCACAGAATTATTATATACTGTCTTTTTTTCCTTCCTAATTTCACCCGTCATTCACTCCCTACATCAAGAATCATTCACAATAGTTATTGCATTTGCGATGATAATCTATAATAATGTACATTAAAAATTAATCTTAGAAATAAATGTATTAAATATGACTAGAAAAAAATTGTGTAATATGCAACTTAAACGTGTAAAATACAATTAATGTTTCATTTTTGCAACGTGGTGTGAATAAAAGAGTACGCAAATTTCAAATAAAATGCTTCTTTCCTGGCGACTTCATCACACTATTAATATTTTGCATCAGGCTAGGTTTAAAAAATTTCAGCAGAAATATACTAAATTACGAAGAAGTGCAGGAGGCATAATGTCTAATGTAAAAAATCATAAAACTAGTTTCAAAATTACGCATGACTTTGCCAACGAAATAACCTTTTCTTAATATTGTCGACAAAATTACCCCTGTCGGCGAAATAACCCTGTCGACGAAACGACCCTGTTGACGAAATGACCCTGTCGACGAAATAATCCTGACGACGAAATGACTTGTCGATGAAATGACCCTGTCGACGAAATGACTCTGTCGACGAAATGACCCTGTCGATGAAACGACCATGTCAACGAAATGACCCTGTTGTCGATGTAATAACCTTCGCAAAGATATGTCCCCGTCGACGAAATAAACCTGTCGACGAAATGACCCTGTCGACGAAATGACTTGTCGACGAAATGACCCTGTCGATGAAATGGCCCTGTCGAGGAAACGGCCTGTCGACGAAATGACCTAGTCGATGAAAGGGTCTGTCAATGAAGTGATGTCGATGAAATGGCCTGGCGATGAAGTGATTGTCGATGAAATGAATGCGACCCGTTAAAATTATATACCCTTCATAATTTTAACATTAATAAAATAATATAAGAGTACTGTGTTTTCACTATTTTTTTTATTATAACGACATTTTTATTATTTATTGCATGTGTTATTTAGACTTAAAATTCATTGTAAACACAAGTAGTAAATAAACGAAAACAACGTTTGCAGGAACTACTACTCAAAAGAATCTCAAAACACAATGATCCCGTTCTGAGCCAAATGACTTCAAAATACACCGGACACAATAACCCGGAAGTATAGGCGGTAAAGAGCCTGCAGCTCTCCTTAGTGTAGAAAACACCATCCATACTGAGGATTACTATATTGCGGAAGTATATAAAATTAATACGTATTTTTAAGTATTTTCAAACATTTGTGCTTGAGAGTATAGTTAAATATTAAAACGATAAAGAATTAATAAAATTTCCATGTAAAATCAACGAAAAAAAAATTAAAATTAGCAATTAACCTGTGGATTAATATTACTAATGCCAAGGTTAAATGCGATTCTAAATCCACAAGAAATAATATTTTCAGTGTGTTTCTTATCATATGAAACTATTTGTTCCACCTGTGCTAAATAATGAATCAATAGTGATGATAAGAAAACCGCTTTATCAATTATTTAATTTTTTTCTGCGAATTCAATGATTTTATTTTTCCCGCAATAAAAAATTGATAAACTGAGTTCTCTTGCAAAAACTATATCTACAGATTGCCTTAAAATTTATCATTGAAGAGTTGCTCTTGAAAATTGAAGCATGACATCTTGCAGTCTTCTCGTCGTTTTTCTTTTGGGTGTAAATCTCCTTTTACTAGTTTCTGCAAGATCTGGAATCAATTCTGATGTTTCTGAAATTCCTGTGCATGCCGTCACTGAGGGATTTCAGAATATAGATCCAGTCAGCCCCACTATATATTCCGGTAAGTAAAGAAATCATTTCTGTTCTTGCCTTTAGGGCTGCTAACTACTACGCTTTTTGAAAACAAAAATTATATATATA